GCGCATAAATACAGAGTTGAGGACTAAGGAATAGGGCAGCTCTCTTTTATGGCGAACAATTTGCACATTGCAATCATAGGCGGTTATCCATATACTTCTCTTATATATATGGGAATAAGGTATAACCATGGTATACTTTAAAAGGAGTATACCTTAGTGGGGAAAAGCTGCCTGCGCCATCTAGAAAGCACGAACGTTAGTTACGTAGAGCATCCGCCGTATAAGCGCCATTCGTGATAGAAGTAAAGCTGGATTCACATGAATACGAAATTCGACGATACGGTCATCGGTCATCCGAAATGCTTATGATTGGTCAATAGTTTGAAATGTCAAGCACATTTCAAATTATTGACCAATCATAATCATTTCGGATGACCGTATCGTCGGATTTCGTATTCATGTGAATCCAGCTTAAGAAGTATTATTAGTATCACAGAACAGTAATATTGTGATTAGTATTGACATAAATTGTAGGAGTCGCTTATCTATCCACCGTCTCGTCCGCCGTATAATAATTTTTTTCTTCAAACGTCATATCATATAATATTGACATTACGTAGCCCAGCACTCTGAGTTAAAGTTTGACTTTTTAGAACAATCGAACAAGCGGCAGTGAAGTATTTTAGTGCCTAGGCAATAAAACGCTTCAGTGCCAGTGTCACATTGTTTTGCTTTGACAAGTTGATGTTATTTACATTAGGTTCTTGGTTCACCTAGCAAGTGCGTTGATCTTTCCTTCTGATTTTAACAGAAATAAAAATATAGTCGATCAAAGAAGCTATTTATTTATTTAAATAATAGTTAATGTTGAAAGTTCAGTTAGTCATATTACCATTATTGAAATTAAACCTTCGTTCCTGCAGCATCCAAGTTTTGAAGAGTCAAGTTTTGTTTGGCTCGTCTTATTTCTAATGAATGAATGAAGTATTTTCAAAAAACTGGATTGGTTTCTGCTTCAAATGAAGGAGTAGTTGAAGTCATTCCATCTGATAAACCTGGATTTTCTAAAGTTGTCGAAAGTATTTTTTGTGCAATTTCATTTTTATTTGAAATCAAAAACTCGTCCACAATTAAAACGTCAAAACTAATAATGGCCAACTATAGCAATTGTTATAGTCACCACGGCCGACGCGCTCACGGCTACCCATAACGATCGGGTTAATATTTCTTCCGATTTGAAAACCATTATTTGGGCGTTATTCTCACGTTTGAAGAAAAAATAGCATATATTATGCGGAGCTAAAGTAACTTCTTATGGCTCGTCAGTATTTTGCTGGCCTCGCTTCGCTCGGCCATCAAACACTGACTCGCCATAAAAAGTATCACTTTAGCTCCTCATAATATAATATACTATTTTTTTTCATTTGCCTATTATATGTCAATTATATCTGTCATATGTGATATGTGAAGCAGTCTATTACGCCCAACGGCATAATGAGAGGGCATAATGGATTGTCATCTCATTATGCCCTCAAACGGCCTGTCAAATTGATTGACGGAGTTATATTATGTCATAAAAAAGATGCAACTTGATTAGTATGGAGCACTTTAATGTTGGGCAAACAATAATCATGACATTTGTATATTGGAAATGCATTCTTTGGAATGATGAAAAATAAAATGTTGTATGCACCTATCAGGCATTACTCAATATTTAACCCTCGGGCGACTTACAATCCCTCGGGCTCTGTCGCCCTCGGCATAAATATCGCCTTAATGCCCTTGATGCATAAATAACTAATTTATCTATGTTGAGCATCTTGTCTTGAATGGCGGTCGTGAACGCGTCGCTCCATAAATGTTTGTTGTTATTTAATGCAGGTAGTAATTTTTGGATTTCTTTATATCCTATTTGTGTTTTGTATGTCGCATTTTATATTTTTTGTGTTTCAATCTTTGTTTATGAAATATACTTGGTTTAACCGTAATGCAGAATGACATGTTTAATACCGTTATTCCTTTGTTTGTATTCGTTTACGTTTTTGGTGTAATGTTTGCTTAATTTATGTTTATTAATGTTGATTACTTGGCCTTGTCCCTGAAGTAACATTCATGTAAGTTTTGATAATTTTATCTAATATGTGGAAATTACCGATTCGTTTGATGTACATATGTTCTGACATAACTGACTTGTTGTTGGTTACTAACAATTTTCTCCGTGAATGAAGCAGTCACGGGGGTGGTAAAAACTGCGTAACCATTTGAAGTACGACACCTAATTCCGTTATTGTCTTCGACATATCCAGAAACCCCGAAACCAGGGGTGGGCTACCCATCTTGCAGGAGCGGAATGACGCTAATCAAAGCTTTTCAGTTTAGAATCTATGTGCGATAAATCAGTTACGATTCGTAGTTTCCACATATCTTGTTTTAGTTAATTTTGTCGACAAGGTCATGTAATTTTCCATCCTGCTTTTAACAAAAGGACTTTATTGCACCAGAGAATAATCGCATCCTGTACTCTTAACCCTTTCTAGAATTTAGGTACCTACCTGCCCGTACTCTTTTTACCCTTAGCAGTTACTTTTGCGAGAGTACGACACCTTTTGGCTATGCTTGCTTTGTTAATATTATGTACATCAACTAAATTTCAGGGCTTTCACAAACTTAATAATTACGATCTTATTAAACAAACTTTTCACAATTTGAGTGTTTTATTTTACGTTCCTTCCCTACTATGCTTCAGGTCAAAGCGTTGCCTACAACTAGCGTAAGGAGGCCCTGCCTTAGATGTTTGATCACGTGCCACTTTTCAAATTTAAGCGGGATCTTATTTAGTTTTGGAGGGAATAGTCATTCGGGTGGCCATTTTTAAACGTTGCCGGGTTGATTTTATTTCCATGTTCTTGTAGTGTGAAGTTGGGGGGGGGGGGGATAATACACTACAGCTTCACAGAAAAGAAATCTCCTAAGCTCCTTTAATTATCGGCGCTATTCCAATTGGAAATATCAACTTTGTCTTTAGTTGAATACATCGCACACGAACTGAAATTAGAATAGGAAAGTCAAAGCGATAATATTCAAATTAATTAATATGACAGGCAGATCTTCATTTGTTGTAGGTAGTTATTTTGGTTGATTAAAGTTAGGCGTCCTTTTTATCATTTAAAAGTAGACATAGGAAATTCCTATGTCTACCTCTACATGAATATCACTGTAGGTATATAGGAAGGAAATAGTGTTGAATTAGCTTTGCCAAGTTAGCTTTTTAGCGGTTCATTTTGTGTTTGAGGTTACTTTCAACTTTGCTTTCTGCATCCATTGAGTTAAGTTCAATTTGTTTTAATTTGGGCCATTGTCCATTTACAAAAATGTAATGGGCTTAGTAGTAATTGAAATTACTTACACTTGAAATCAGGAGTATGTGACCCTGCTTGATGTGCGAATCAATTTCAGTTTTTTTTAAATCAATTTCGCACTTGATAGATGTTACAGTGTTTGCTAAAATTACTGTATCTAAGACCTTCAGATACATTCCGGATTGGAGGAGGTTCATCCAATTATCGCTGCATTTTATGTACTTTTTGCCAGACTCAGAATGCTATTCTTCATAAATGGGAAGGGCTTGGAGGTGCTTTTAAATTTGCTTTTGGATTACAATAATTGAAAAATTTCGTCTGTAGTTTTTTACGAGCATTAAATTTATTTGGGTAGATTTAATTTAGATAGTTGGGACAAGTTAGGATTTAAGGTGTGTAATGTTTTATTTTTAAATTTTGTCACTATGTTTATGAACCCAGTAAATTTTGTATCTCAAGCCAAGTGGTTATTTGTAAAATACAATTCTTTCAAAATAAATCAATTAAAGTTTGTTATTTTAACTCATTTTCAGTGAGTAGTGGGGCCAGAGTCTCATTTATTTTAATAAGTCAGGCGAGTTGCACAATACGTTCAATACATTGCAACAATCTCATGAAAAAAAGAAACACATTGTTTTAAATATATTTATTCTTAATCTAGAAGAAAATACAGAATTTAGAAAGGAATGTTTAATTTAGAAATAATAATTTAAGTGGAACATTATTCTGAAATATTTAATTAATATAATTTCCTTAATTTTATAATACAGAAATTCGTCAAGGAAAAATTTACAGAAATAAAACATTTCGATAATAGTTCGTATATTAACAAGTGTTTACTAATAAGGCACTTTTCTTTGTTATGATAAGTTTATAAAATGTTATTGTTAAAATGTTTAAAATAATACTTAAAAAAGTGTAAGAAACATAGTTGACAAGATATTGCTCTTGAACAAGAAATATACATGCGGAAAAGGATAAAAATAACACAACACCCCCACACATCTTTCTGTACAATTTTAATAATATACAACGTAAATATATGATTACAACTATCGCTTTAATACTATATTATACCCAGCACCCAATTGTGAGCATTATTATAGATCTTAATAAACCTAATGTGCAATAACCAATCTTTGGAAATTAGATATATACAGCTGCAAAAATATAAACCCCCCTCCCCAAAAAATGAAATTGAAATAAATGACAATACTTAAATCACAGGCAACTTTTATGTCCGTTAGACAATTTTCTCTTAAATTAATAAAAGTGACTATTTAAATGCGGTAAAAAATTGGTTATTGGGCTGATTAAAACCTGGGCTGGGATTATAATTAATTGGCCTACCGTATGGCTGACTATTCATCGCTCTTGGCTGATTGACGGGTGAAGTTGGGTTGCTTGCCATCTGGTTCATACTGGGAGCGTTACCTTGTTTACATTTTTTATTACCTAATAAATTGTCTAAGTCAATATTTAAGTTGCCAGAATTGCTCCACGTCGCTCCCACCGCAACTTTATTGCTATTATAATTCGACATGTTATCCGTCTCTTGATTCTGAGGCATGGAAGACATCGGTTGGAGAACTTGAGCGGTAGACGATTGTAGCACTTGACCTAAACAAAAAAAACGATTTTAATTGTTTTTGTAATGTTTCCATTACTTATTCGTGAGCTAATCTTTTGTCAAACTCCCAGAAGGTTTAAAAGTTTATTATTAAGAGATTACATGATTAGATGACTTAGAACTAAGCGTTTACAATTGACTCCTCTTTTAATACATTATCCAAAACATACATAACATGCTGGGCTAGAATTCTACATTCAGAATTTGTTTCACCGTTTGGCGATAACATTGCGGCGAGACGCAAACGGAACTCGATCAGTTCATCGATAAATTGTAACAATAAGATACTAGCAGGTACACTAAGTACAATACAAGCGATCATACTTAATATTGATATTCTCACTTTCGGTTCTCTGTAAAACCATAAAGACCAAATTACCGGCAGAAGCTCGTGGGCCATTTTCGGCGCAATGGAACAATTTTGCGCACAAGTCATTATAATGGATAGGGTGTTTAGATAGTTGATAAGTAAGCTGTGATCGTCGTCATTTTGCATTTCGGTTATCATAAAGTGGGATTTCGCAAAACCGCGAAGTAGTGGGTAGAAAAATGACCCCGCAACACTGGAGAATTTATTAATGAACATTTTGGGGACGTATTTGTGTCTATTGTATCGTCTGGTCTTGCTTTCTAAACGTTTTTGTATAACATCATCAATCGGTTGTTCTGTCACTTCTGTTGCACTCTCGCTTGCGCCATCTTTGGCTAACGTGCGATTTGATAATATTTTTGCCGACTCCTGTAGAATATCCAACATTAAAATGCGATGTATGATAGAATACGAGCGGCGTTCCGTATGAAATTGTTTGCACAAATACTCGGCGTACTCGCTCGGGTATATACACGTTAATGCAATGCAACTTTGAAAAACAATCGCGTCAAAATTCTCGACGTAAAACGTGGGACTCAACGATATTAAAATCTCCAAAAGTTCCAAACCAATGGCGACATCGTCGTTGGGAAGTTGCGTCATGATCAGCTTTTCGCAATTTTCCATACTCAATGTAAATATATCCGGGTCTTTATTTTCGAGTAGACCATCCCTGAGGTCTCTGAGGTAGGCAGGTGCGGACTTCTTTGAGGCTGGAACGTCATTACTTAAATCGTACGGTTCTAAGTCATCGTCAGAATCCAACTCGAAATTCGAATCGATTATTTTTATGATTGAATTTTTGCTTTTGATGCTTTCATTACATATCTCGTTTGTCGGCGGTTCCGTTCGGATTCTGAATTTACGCTCGGGCGGCGTATATTCGGCAATGACTTCGCCTTTGTCCGCCATTTCTGATGACGTCACCAAGATGTTTATGACATCATCAAATGGGGCAGCCTGCATCTTAATGTTAAAATTCTGCAGACTTCGCAAGCTTTTTATTAATTTTTGGGAATCTTCCGATCGCAGCTGCTCCAAATTGAAGTTCAGTTTAACTTCCTTTCTTTCCTCGCTATTTTTATTCAGATACTCCATCATAATTTCGGCAGTTACCATTCCAATTACTCTGATATCTTCGATAACAGACTGCAAATGCACATTGATGCCTGGATAAAACTTCGTTGACAATTCGCGATCGGTTGATACAAAGTTGGACTGAGACAACAACGTTACAATCGCTATAATAAATTTTGTCAAATAAAGATGCTGTTCGACGCTTGTATGATTAACCGCCGACTTATTCGACCACGTCGTCACCAATTGCAGAAGCAACTGATACAGTTCGTCTGCGGACACCTTCTTAATGCACAACAATAAACTGAATATAAACGCGTCATCGCATGGCGTATAGTAGGTTAGAAGCGGAATTTTCGTGGTCAACACGAATTTCCAATCTTTATTTCGATACAATCGCGACTTCAGCATCTGATAACCGTTGGGAATACGCAAACTCATGACAGCTAAAACTTCGATTGCTGATCGATTTAGATTTTCAAAGATTGCAACAACGTTGTCTTCGTACGACTCGAATTTCAGTGACAAAACTTTCAGGAAATGGTCCAGGGCAGAAGACTCCAGCGAATCGTTAAAGTCTAGGAGAAATTTGTTCATTAGGAATGTGACAGGTTGTAAATTCAGACGAGTGGGTTTTAAATCATTTAGAAATTCGAACAACTTGATTAGATTGACCGCAAGCAAACTGCCAAATCTCTCCCTCTCGAACAGTCGCGGATGATCCCCCTTGGTTGCGTTAGCAACTCTAGTCGGCAGAGACACCAACAATTGAACAAGGTTCTCCCACCTCCTTTCCTTGTCATTTTGAACGATTGGGTTCGAGTCCTCGGGTTGAAGACTGTGATAAAGCAAAACGCCAAACAACGCTTCGGATTTCATCATCTTCTCGAGAATTTTGACCACGCTTTTCACTACGACCTTATTTTCTAACTTCAACTTTTTCGTCATAACAGAAAGGCACTCTGAGAAAAAAAAATTATTCTCCACAACAAACAATTTGAGAACATTCTCGTAGATTTTATCGTCACAGTATGGAAAAGAGCAATCAAACTTATCGACAATTAACTCTAAAACTAATCCGTATACGTCTTCGGTATATAGTCTCCAATCGATTATTCCTTCGTCTAGCCCTACGACTTTTTGAAAAGTTAAAGGGCCAGGAAAGATCTCCACTAAATGTCGAAGATCGTCTAAAAGTATTTCGATATCACGTTTTGATGTAATTTTAGTAATTCTTCGTAGATCGGTGATAAGAGTATCGGTCGCCGAATCTAAAGTAATGCTTTCTCGTTTACAACTTGTCTTTTCTTCTTGTGGATCTGCTTCGATGTTATTATGTTCTGTAACGGGAAAGCTCGTATGAGTTTCCCGGTTCATTAATTGTTTGTAACTTAAGGGTTGTTTATGTGATTTCTTTACTGTTGTACGTCATTACTTATGCTAGCAGTCATTAAACAAATGATTATAACAATGATTTAATCACAAAGTAATGATGTGCAATAGGTTAATATGCAATTTGTCAATTATTAATTATAAAATTTACTAATCGTACACTGAGCGCTAATTTAGCGCCTGCAGAGATATCAATTGACTAAATGAACTGCTAGTACCTATTAAGCGATAACGACACACGTGCAAGCTGAAAGTGCCGAATTTAAGCAATTATAGTAAAAGAACACGCCTATACAGAGTCGCTGATCAGTATGGAAATAGTCAATTATCGAGAAAAATATACAAGATATCGAAAAGTTTTGGGGTTATTCAATGTCTACTAGACAGTAAACATTTTAATCACATGTACAGGGTGGTTCAAATTCGTAAATGGGCGCCATATTTGATTTTTACGGAATGAGAAAGAGGACAAAAAAAGAAATTCATTTGAATTCAGTGTCATAGCCATGTTGATTTAATAAGATCTCCCTAATTACCTGTGGATGTTTTGTTGTGAAATGAATGTAAAGCATTTGATTTTGAAATTTTGCTTGTAAATTTATGCAAAAGTATAGAGTGTGACACGCCATTATTTTTCTTTGTTCTCTCTCATTCTGCAAAAATTCAAAATGGCGCCCATACAAAAGCTGTACCCTGTAGCTTCTACATCTGGCATATTATTTTTTTTCACATTATTCGATATTTCAATTCTTCTCTCAATTTAAACGTTTCTGGGTTATCGGATTTTGAAAAAAAACACTATTATTTTAAATGTAGTGAATGAAGAACAATAATTAATGAAATAACGAATTTCTTTTGAAAACATTCTGTCCTTCTGAAAGGAACCGATTGTAATGAATGGAATATTATTAATTTCACTATACAACTCTTCGACATTTTGTAACCTGATATTGTAAATGAAATTTTTGACATGGGGGAGCGCCCCATTCTGCTGAAACCATGTTTCTACCACTACCTGATTTCACTATCTGAATATCCGACAAAAGTCTGAAACCATGGATTCTTGCAAAAGTGCAAACTATCGACCAAGAGTTTATGAAATATGGTCCTACGATAATTCCTCTAATAATAATACCATTTCTACGGTACCATGATGAACTACCTACAAAATTGCATTTTGAGTTTTAATAATATTAATTTATTAATAATTTATGCTTAAAATTGAGAGAAGAATTGAAATATCGAATAATATACAGGATGTTCCATTAAAAAAAAATGCAATTTTGGTACGCCACGCCTTTATGGCCATGTATAATTAAAATTATCAGTGCCTAGTAGACATTGAAGAACCCCAAAACCGTTTTGATTTTTCCCAATAATCGACCATTTCCAGACTTATCAACGACCCCGTATGTGCTTGCATATCTTTTTTTAACTTAATCCAGTAATTACTGGTATTAGTTTTACTGGGTTCCGGGTTAAAAAATATCACTCTCAAAGCTAGACCTCTTCCTAGCCTTCCCAATGTTATACAAGTATGTGATTTAAACACATGTACCGGGTGACCCAATAAGACTATTCCTCAGCCAAATCTCGAGAACCGTTCGTCGTACGACTTATGGGTAAAAAAATTATTGGGTAAATCAGTCATGAAGATACGCTGGAAAATATTTTCAAGTGCTAAAAATGACCAACAGAGAACCAGTTTAGCTATCATTTTCGAAAAAAACAAAAACTCATTTATTTCAAAAACAAAGATGGTGTGTGGCGTTCAATTGTTTTTGAAATAGCCTGCTTTAACTTCTTAACCGTTTGACCGATTTTAACAAATTTGGTATGGTTGAAAAGAGGATTCCTTGAGCAATGAGAATCAACCAAAATATAGTTAATTTAGTTGAATCTTTCTCCGTCAGGGGGCTAGTTTTGACACTATGACCCAAAATCATATGGAATGATATGACTTTTTCTTTGAAAAAGTAGCCAAATAACATCCAAAGAGGCCAGTGAAAACCGTTTTTCAAAATCTCGTTCCTAACCTCAAATATTGGGAAAATGAGATTAATTAATTAATTAATAAAAATGCTTAAATTGTATCTTAAATATACTTTTTACGTATTTCCGGTATTTGTCGATGGCGCGAAAGAAAAGCACCCTACACTTTTAGGTAGGCCTTGGAAAATTAAACAAACGAAACACGATGCATTATAAAATAATGTAAAAGTGCAGTTTTTTGAATTTGTAATCTTTTCTAAAATACCGATTTCTAACCAAGAAGCATTTAATATGTTGACGGCGATGGTTCGTGATCGATTCGAATAACGCAAATAGGAGATGTGGACAGTGATGGTCGCATTTTGAAAACATTCAAAATAAATTGCTAGCATAATACATGCTTCTTGGTTTAGAAAAGATTACAAATTCAAAAAACTGCACTTTCTGAATGTAAACAGCAGAATAATTTACAAATGATGGCTGTTATTACTTTATAATGCATTGTGTTTCATTTGTTTAATTTTCCAAGGCCTACCTAAAAGTGTAGGGTCCTTTTCCAAACAATCTTTCGCGCCATCGACAAATACCGGAAATACGTTAAACAAAATACAATTTAAGCATTTTTATTAATTAATTAATCTCATTTTCCCAATATTTGAGATTAGGAACGAGGTTTTGAAAAAAACGGTTTTCACTGGCCTCCTTGGATGTTATTTGGCTACTTTTTCATAAAGAAAAAGTCATAATTTTGGATCATAGTGTCAAAACTAGCCTCCTGGCGGAGAAGAATTCAACTAAATTAACTATATTTTGGTTGATTATTGTTGCCCAAGGAATGCTCTTTTCAACGATACCAAATTTGTTGCAATCGGTCAAACGGTTAAGAAGTTAAAGCAGTTTATTACAAAAGCAATTGAACGCCCCACGCCATCTTTGTTTTTGAAATAACTGAGTTTTTGTTTTTACGAAAATGATAGATAAACTGGTTCTCTTTAAAAATGTGAAAATTTTTTTTTAGTTTATTATGCGAAATTGAAAGAAAATGCAATTTTAAAATTTAAGATGGCAGTTACGCCCTCTGTTGGTCATTTTTAGAACTTGAAAATATTTTCCAGCGATTCATCATAACTGATTTACCCAATAATTTTTTTTACCCCTAAGTGATACAACGAACAGTTCCAGAGATATGGTCGAGGAACAGTCTTATTGGGTCAGCCAGTACAACACCTAATGAATGTTAATTATTTATAACTAAAACCCACTGCAACTTTTAAAGAAATCCTTCCGCAAATAAAAAAGGAAATGTACGCAGTAACTAAATAAAAATTACATTTTAATATTCTACATTACAAATCGAAAAATGTAATTATACTTTTCCACAGTAAAAATGGTATGGTTTGATAATGGCTTAATAATGACAAACATGGATGTGAGATGGAGATATAATAGCACATCCCCTTGAAGCGATGGTGAGATTATAGAGTAAGATCCCAGAGCCGCTAGACATTACTTATTTTTAAATGGATAAAACTTTAGGTTCTGAGTAGTATTTCATGTACTTAGGGACACTTGCGTACTTTATAGAGTTGGGCCTGTGTCAACACAGAGGTACCAGGTGAGAAAGAAGAGCAAAATAAGAGTCACTTTACTTAAATTTGTATGGCTGATTTTTATATATGTTTTGTAAAATATCACTCTAAAGTAGCATCCAGTATCGCCAGACACTTTCCGCTGACCACAACTTCTTACAGACGCTTTAATACGCAGAACAAGTTTAATGTATATAATAATAATGACGGGAATACTCTAGCAAGGTTTCTCGCGCGAGTTCCTGTCTGATAGCACTATCAAGGTGTACATACCACCATAAGTCGGACGTATGGTAGTATTTACACTTCGACAGTGCTGAATTTACTTATTTGTCCTAGGAGATACAGAACGAGCTTTATGTGTTTTCATTTTGTTTATTATTATTTGTCTTATCGCCGATAACGCACGTAAGTTAAGTAAAAGTAAAGTAAGTAAGGAAAGTTAGTAAAAGTCATTCGATTGGGGCGTTCTTAGTGCCTAAGCACGCTTCATTACGAATAATTATGAGCACAGTCACATATTTTTTCTTTGTTCCCCGGGAGCGCAATTAATTAAACAAATTTTAATTTTTGAGCGTTATCGTAACAATTAGCCATGGAATTTCTTACATTCCCTCCCTGCAAGAGTCGAATTTTATATAAGCCGTCGTTTAGGGGGATCTTGATCTTTTGCATCTTTGCAGTTACGGGTTTTCCGAAGTGACCGCCGCATCTTCTGGACCCGTCCGATTCCTGGAGGTGCCGTTTCTCCGGTTGAGGTTACACCTGACCCTTCACAGACTGACCCACCAGACATTGGCTACCGTCGACCACCAGGCGCGAGGCCGTTCGCTTGGTGGCGCTCGTGTCCGTCCGTCCGTTTGTTTCGTTCCGCCGACTCCCGCTACGTTCATCCGTTCCCAGTACATTAATTTGTATTTTTATTTATTTAATTTTAAGTTGATTGTGCACAAAGAAGTTCGTCGCAAAGTTACATGTGGTCTTGATAAATTACCCTTTATAATAACATAACTACAACTTGTTTATACATATCTCACTGAGCCATTCACAATGAATATAACTTATCTCAAATTTAAAATTTTTAATGAATTTTTAACACTCATGGTGCCACCTGTTGGGTGGCAGCACACTCAATTTTTTAAATGTCATTTGAGATTTGACATTTGTTCACTTTTGTTTGTTTGGTTTGAGTATAGTTACTAGATTTTTGGTTTGAGGTTTAATATGAAGAAAAATATCCTGCAACTACTTTCAAATTTCATTGCAAATATAAACAAACTGTTGTGCACACATTGTTTAAAAAATGTTGTCCTATAATTAGACTTTTCTGTTGGACGTTAAATTAATTATTCACGTTTAAATTGTTGAATAAGATCGGTGCGTAACCATTTTGACACCTCTTGAATGTACCTGGTTATTGAAAATTCCGAAGAAAATTCACAAAATCTACAATCTTTAATTAAAAATTGTATCTTTAAAGTCGCTACATTTCAGGGTGGTTTAAAAAAAGACGTAGTCGTTGTTCGCTTAACTTTCATATAGGCTATATGCACCCGCGTTTATAAGAACTTGGCGGAGAATTCATGTAAATTAAAAGTCCACGTTCCGAAAAACTGTCGCTTTTGTTGTTACTCAATTTGAACTACCTTGCTTGCTTGACCACATGCATGGGACGAAAAAGTAAAAACGCTTCACTTTCTTGAGCCAAGCTAAAAAGGGCATTTGTACTTGAAAAAATTAAGTTTTCACGTTTTCCAAAATGGTTGTCAAAATTGAATAAAGCTGAATATTGTTGTGTAAATTAGATCATGCGGACGTTTTTATTCAGTTCCCCACCTGTAATTGTCACCCTATACAATGCAAATTTCAATTTTTAAAGTTTAAATGTGGTCACCAATTTGAGATTAGACGATCATATTCAAATTCGAGTTCAATGTTAATGTGTATCAGAATTATTTATTAGTAATGTAAATTTTGTTTAAATAATCGCCTTTTTATTTTGATTTGTGATTGTAAAGTTGAATTTTATCGTTCAGTTATTAACAATAAGGAACATCTGGAATTAATTGCATGAAATGTTTTGTTGAAGTTACCAGTCGTTGCGATAGGGCTCGTTTATCGCTGCGTAGAGCTAATCAATTTCAAGATAAGCACGTGTTATCGCCGAAGTTTTAACACAGGTGTGAGTTATTCGAAGACGCGCAGAAAATTAAGAAAGAAATAGATGGAAATGGACGAGTAGGGGAGACGAAGCAGACGCAAATCGAGGTGGTGGACATTATTCGTTGCTTTTTGTTTGGTGGGCGATTAGCCTATATCGAAGCTTTTTGAAAAGACAGTCAGTCTTGCCAGTTGTAAAGTTGTTGTAGAAGAAAATTAGATCTGTAGGGTATTTATCGATACCTTGTGATAAATGTGAATGTTACAATTCGAGGGAGCTCGAGCATTGTGTCACGTTTACGAAGAAGTAGTTGTGTGTCTACCATGCGTTTATCGCATAAGAAAGCATTTTTTATGGTTTACCAGTAACCATTATCAAAGAGTCAATTTTACATCTGTAATTACAACGAAACAAGTGTGGTCTAAATCGAGACTCAAGTGCAATAATTAAAGTAAAGAGATGAAGTTTCGAAGCAATACCACCTGGTGTTTTGTGTTAGTGCGTCTGTTTGAAGTGAATCGCAGTTAAGAGTTGATATTTTCGATTAAGACTTATTTAATTAGTTTGTTTCTATCGATCGCTTGTTGCGTGGTATTTGTCATCTGGCCTGAGTGCCATTCTTTTTTTCAGCGTATTTGATTGTTTTTATAACTTTGTTAATCTGTAAATGATCAATGGTGTGTTTAATCGAGCCCAAATTACGACCTGGATAAGAGTTCTTATAGCAAACTTTTTTCTATTGGTGCCTAGGATTATGGAAGGTGTAAATTAAATATCGAAGATTATAATCATTTCGTTTGTGGATGGTTTAAACCGTTTGCCATTGCTATAGTGAGAAGAAATGCTTCATATTTACTAGCTCTAATAAAGATAACTATAGGTAGCGGCAACACTGTATATTCAAGTATATTGTTATTTGTAACATCTTTTGAATTTAAACTTTCATATTGAACCATATGCTGCTATGTATAAAATTCAAATTGATAACAGTACCTACTCTTCTTCAGATTATACTTAGTTTGAAAACTTTTAACCTATTGAGCCTAAATTCAATAGTTCTTCCTTTGAAGAGGAATCGATATACCAAGTTTCAGCAATTATCGTGAAGACCGACAAGCAGACAGACAACATTTCTGGAAAGTGCGTGAATTAAACTCATTGATGCCACTACACAGTGTGTCTCTTATTACTGTGTAAACTTTCATCTTGACAGTGAGACAATTAATTACTAAATAAACCCCAAGGGCCAGGTTGTATGACCATAGTTTGTCAGTTCACTTGACTGACAAAATTAGGAATCTTGAATAATTATTGCATTTTAACCATTCAGTCAACTGAACTGAGGTTAAACTATCGTGGTACAAACAGCTCTAAACCTCATAATGGCATATTTGTAATCAACCTTTAGTAATAACAACTAAAAACTCCCATTTTAAATGAGCGTTTCAAAAGATATTCAGGATGATTCTAGCGAAACTAATAACCCACGAAAGACACCTATCAAAAGTTCAACGTTTTCACACTTTTTTTAAAATGCGGCTAACTTCCTTCTACAAAATTAAACCAGAAAATTAGACGTGCATAGTTCCAAGTACAACCCTTAAGTTTACACAAATTTAATTATTTAATTGGGAATAATACAAAAGCACATAAATAAAAGTAGGAACAAATAAATAGAGATTTGTACATTACCACCCACCTGTGCCAAACACATCCATAATATTGTTGGAAGTGGAACCCATCAGCAAGCTCTGATTATTATTACTTGGTATTATTCCCGCCGGTTGTTGAATGTTAAGCGAATTAAAGCCAGAGAGATCACTCAATAAATCACTATTTGAACTTTGTGTATTATTCGTCGCCGATGCTACTCCATCAAGCAAATTAGGTCCAGCCGCAAATAGAGGCGATTGCGCTGGTAAAGGAAAAGCAGGTGCTTGTTGTACATCTTGCAACGGAGAATTAATTAAGCCTTTACTTTGAGTGTCGGAAAATGCTGAACTAAAATCGGCAAAATCATCCTGCGTTTGTTTAGAAGTCGAGTCGGTAGAAAAAGCTGCTTCAAAATTGCCAAACTCTGACGAATTTGCATCTTTCGTTTCGTGAGCGCGAGGGTTAAATTCGTCGTTTAATAGGTTTGGCGTATTAGACGCTGAGTTTTTATTCTCTCTACCAAAGTTAGCTGCTGCGCCGAGATCAACTTTTTTTAACGGCTTAACCGTTTTGGTGGGAGTTCTATTACTGTTTGCGTTAATGTTCAGATTCACTTTCTTTTCTGAGGCCGTCGGACTGCCTATTGCGTCTGTATCTTTATATTTTGTCGTACCATTTGAATTGTGATTCGATTCGGTGTCGCTGTCCTCTCGCTCAACATCGTAGTCGTCGTAGGAACGATCTCTGTAATTACTAACACTTTGCGGTTTTTCATCCCACTCCTGATTTTGCGTGGAATAGTCTCTGTTCCAGGATCTATCATCCCAACGCTCGCCTACAAAAAATAAATCTTAAATATTTCAAGTTCTATAGTGAAAGCACGGACGTAAATATAGTATACATAGCTCCTTGTGACATACAAAAATAAATGTTGTTTATAGAGCATATAAACAACATTTATAATCTCCTTAAATATTATATTAGTTTTATTAAATCTAATAATTGGAAATCGAATAACGAGGCTGGCCACTTTTCAAGCCCCAGGAAGAAACCTTCCCACCTTGGTGCACACAATACTTTTCGGTGTAACACGACAAAGTTGTGGTGATAGTTGTTGTGACGCTTATATGCTCAATTAAGGTATAAAATCGTAATGTAAACTTGTAGCTAGTTAAACATTATGCACTTTGAAGTATCGGGTGACCCAATTCCAATAAGACTGTTCTTCGGCCATATCCATGACAATTCGTCATATGACTTAGGGGTAAAAAAAATTATTGGGTAAATCGGTAATGAAGAATCGTTGGAAAATATTTTCAAGTTCTAAAAATGATCAACAGAGGACGTAACTGCCATCTTAAATTTTAAAATTGCATTTTCTTTAAATTTCGCATAATAAACTAAAAAATTTTCGTAAAAACAAAAACTCCGTTATTTCAAAAACAAAAATGGCGTGGGGCGTTCAATTGTTTTTGCAATATCCTGCTTTAACTTCTTAACCGTTTGACCGATTTTAACAAATTTGGTGTCGTTGAAAAGAGCATTCCTTGGGCAATGAGAATCAACCAAAATATAGTGTTAATCTTAATAATAATAATCTCCGCCAGGGGGCTAGTTTTGACACTATGACCCAAAATCCTAAAAAAATCAAATGGAATGATATGGCTTTTTCTTTATGAAAAAGTAGCCAAATAACATTCAAAGAGGCCAGTGAAAACCGTTTTTCAAAATCTCGCTCCTAACCTCAAATATTGGGAAATTGAGATTAATTTAATTAATAAAAATGCTTAAATTAAATAAAAATGTTAAATTTACTTTTTACGTATTTCCTGTATTTGTCGACGGCGCGAAAGAAAAGCACCCTACACTTTTAGGGAGGCCTTGGAAAATTAAACAAATGAAACACGATGCATTATAAAATAATAACAGCAGTAATTTGTAAACTATTCTGCATTCAGAAAGTGCAGTTTTTTGAATTTGTAATCTTTTCTAAAATGTCGATTTCTAACCAAGAAGCATTTAATATGCTGGCGATATATTTTGAGTGTTATCAAAATGCGACCATCGCTGCCCGCATCTTCTATTTGCGTTATCCGAATCGACCACGAAACCATCGCCGCCAGCATATTAAAAGCTTCTTGGTTAGAAATCGGCATTTTAGAAAAGATTACAAATTCAAAAAACTGCACTTTCTGAATGCGTAAACACAGCAGAATAATTTACAAATTACGGCTGTTATTATTTTATAATGCATAATGTTTCATTTGTTTAATTTTCCAAGGCCTACCTAAAAGTGTAGAGTCCTTTTCCAAACAATCTTTCGCGCCATCGACAAATACCGGAAATACGTCAAATAAGATACAATGTAAGCATTTTTATTAATTAATTAAATCTCATTTTCCCAATATTTGAGGTTAGGAACGAGATTTTGAAAAACGGGTTTCACTGGCCTCTTTGGGTGTTATTTGGCTACTTTTTCATAAAGAAAAAGACATATCATTCCATTTGATTTTTTTAGGATTGTGGATCATAGTGTCAAAACTAGCCCCCTGGCGGAGAAGGATTCAACTAAATTAACTATATTGGTTGATTCTTGTTGCCCAAGGAATGCTCTTTTCAACATACCAAATTTGTTACAATCAGTCAAACGGTTAAGAAGTTGAAACAGGTTATTGCAAAAACAATTGAACGCCCCACACCATCTTGGTTTTGAAATAACTGAGTTTTTGTTTTTACGAAACTGATAGATAAACTGGTTCTCTTTAAAAATGTGAAAAAAGAATTGTTTAGTTTATTATGGGAAATTTAAAGAAAATGCAATTTTAAAATTTAAGATGGCAGTTACGCCCTCTGGTGGTCACTTTTAGAACTTGAAAATATTTTCCAGCGATTATTCATAACCGATTTACGCAATCATTGTTTTACCCCTAAGTCATACGACAAACGGTTCCCGAGATATGGCCGAGGAAAAGTCTTATTGGGTAACCCGGAATATACTTGCATTTATTTATAAAATATGTTCATGCAAAGCACACAAATGAAAGCGTAAGCAACAAGTACAAATTGTGCACAACTCTTGTGCAGATAAAGCGCATTTTTTTTAACAAAAGTTTGACCCTACTATTAGATATGCCTAGTGCAGATGTTCCAATAGCCCTTTGTAAGTACCCTCCTCTGATAATACACTCTTGAGATATAAGGAATTATATTTGATTACGATAAGGGGCCGAGGACTATGGTTGCCAGAAATTAATTCTTTTCGTTGAGACCTTTCATTAGAGTACCATGAAGTATAAAACCAGTTCCGCTCCCTCCCCTCCATTTTGATAAGGAGTAAGAAAGAAGGGCGGTGGCTGGTAGAAACCAGCTTCGTTTGTTGAGATCTTTTAATTAGAATACTATGGAAGATAAAACCAACTTTTAACCCCCCCCCCCTCCCCCAACCTCTCCGTCCACTGATCTCCAAAAGGAGTCATGCATGCAAGTTTGTAGAAAGCAATTCATTTCGATGAGATCTTTCATTATAATACCGTGAAAGGCAGAACGTGTGTTCACCCCCTCACCCCATGTAAAAGTTTTGCTTTGCACCGCTAAAGGCATGTGTATGCAAAATCTGAGGCCAATTGGTTGTTGCATGTAAAAAACAGCATCGCAGGAATTAATTCATCATGGGTGGGGAGGACTTTTATACAGCGGAATTTGATGGCCGTCTAGCACACCTTCAAGGTATAGGCTACCTTTTGCAAAAAATTGCAGGACTCTAGGACCATTCTCCTAACAGTAGTTCAATGGACGAACAAAACACAAACAATAGCACATTGTTTTATCTCTTAAAAAAAGGCGCTAAAAATAGTGGAAATTGTACAAGGTGATAATGGACTACATGTGTAACTTAATATAATGCATTGGTGGGGAGTGGGGCAAAGTACATCTAAATTATGATGTGTAGTTAATATTCTTATTATAATACTCTCCTCCCAAGAGATGCACGTTGTCATAGGGGGGGAGGGGGGCTCAAAATCCACTGTTGCCAGCAGTGGTGAAGCTAAGTATCCTAAACCTGGTATAAAACGCAGGAGCAACAATGACAAAAATAACAAACAAAAATACACACGACAGGACTAAGGTACTGACTGCCTCAAATTCAAGGATCGGTGCCGGATTAAAAGTTGTGTTTTCGAATGCAAGGAAATTAGTTTTTGCAGCACTTACTTACTGACGTTTTGAATTCAAACGCATCTTTTTTTCAATCAAACTTTAATTTAAATGCAAAATATTACAAGAAATTGTTCAAATACGGCTGAAAAGGAACATGCAACATTTGATTGTTTGTGCAATCGATATGGAATATGTACGCTAAACCGCTTTAGTTGCTTATTTTGCAAAAAAGAGAGCAAGTTAATAACATCTTCTCTATGGAGTAAATAAATATTCGATGATGTTTGAATATGGACAATGTAAAGTTCAGACCACGACTTTCCGAAGCAATCATGTCCAAAAATCAAAAACATTGGAGATTAATAAATCCAACGGTCCATAAATGAAGCTGATGATGATAATCTCAAGAAACTATGCACATGCATAACCCAACTTTTTTATATGTTAAAATAATTAAGTAAAATTTGGTACATAAAATGCAAAAAAAAGTTTGGCGCATGCGCAATTTTTTTATTAGTTGAAACTTTGTATACAGGGTGTTTCTTATTTCTTAGAGACGCCATATTGGATTTTTACAGAATGCTATAGAGAGGATAAAAAAAGAAAAATGATGACATGTCACACTCTATATTTTTACATAAATTTAGAAGAAAAATTGCAAAATCAGAACTTAATAAAACGTTCACGGCTAACTACATCTTGATGAATCAACATGGTTCTGACGGCGAGGCGTTCAAATGAATTACTTTTTTGACCCTTTACCTCATTTTATAAAAATATAGCTTCTACATCTAGCGTGTGCCGTGTACAGATTCAGATTCTCCGAAAAAAATAGCCCATAAAAGGTACTAACGGGAACCGTCCATTTTCGACCTTTTAAGCTAGGGAAAATGAAAACGAAATTTGACATTTTCAGTTTTTCGATATCTCTGTTATTTTCAAAGATTTTTCAAAAATGTCAAATGCATTTTTTTTAGTTTCCAAAAAATGCAACTTTGCCCTATTTAACCTACACTGTATCGCTCACAGTTACAGAGATCCCAATGTTGAGCCACGAATTTGAACCACCCTGTACATTTTAGCAAGAGAGAATACCTTGGTCGCAGTTGGAATGTATCAGCAGAAATATCCTGAAGGAGAAGTACCATCACATAAATACTTCCGAAGATCAGAAGCCGGATTACATGTTAATACAACTGCATTTATCGGAAAATCAATCCAGAACAACAATAAATAATGATATTGAAATGTTGGCCTATTTTGAAGTAAATCCAAGGGCATCTATTAGACTAGTGTAGTGTAGGAAGAGAACCTAAAATTTTAAAAAGGAATAAATACAGAGCCTATAAACTTTAAAAAGTCATTTACATCTTGGAGACGCCTTGAGTTTTGTTATTTGTTGTGTAACGCAATATTTAAATAATATGTTCCAGATCAGCGGAATAGTACTAACGGCCCTATTTGATGGCCCACTAGGTCGTTAGCCATTTTAAAATAAAAATCAAAAAAGGAAAGGAAAAAAATATAGTTCCATTTAAAATAACAAAGCTGGTATCCACACTTTGTGATCCATTGTTTCTTGTAAAAGAGCAATTGTTTTCTAATTAACCGACCCATAGCTCTTGGGATACCAATAGTGGACAAAATAAAATGAGCATCCTGTCTAGCGCCTTGAATAACAGTAAGACAAAAGCTGCTACCAAACAAATTGATTGGCTCATAGATGTATAATCCCACTTTTTTGTTTATTAAGAATAGATACTTAATTGATGATGCCGGAGAAAATACCACATACACAGAAGCATGGAATTCCCAAGATTGTTCTTGGTTTAGGTGCCAAATCTATAAACAGGGGAATACACGAAATACCTTGAAAACCTTAGGCCTCGGACAGAAAGCAATAGCACATCCAACATGAAGGTTGGTAGGGTGTGTACCTACTCTACTGAACCAAGTTCTCTTGGCCTACACACCCTACCAACTTTCCGCTCGATCCCAATGAAGGCTGAAAAAATTGCTCGGCAAATGATCCTTACAATAATTGTGCAAGAACAACTAGACCAAAATGTAATTTTTTTTAAAACATTGATTAAGTGTGTCACCATAAGCTTAACATCTAGCGCATAGATGAACATTTGTAACTAAAATAAGTAATCAATGTAAACATGTTAAAAAATTAAAGGACCTATAATTGTGACATGGTTGGTGGATTTAACTCGCCAAGTGCTTCAAATCCACAACTGTAGCCAATTTATATCGTTACACGAGCTATTTGTACTATATTTATATCAGTAATGAAACTTACTAAATTTTCCACCCATAGATTCCGAACTCATCCCGATGTATTTGTCCTTGTTTTTCTTAGCCTTTTTTCTTTCCTCTCGTAATTTATCGTCGTCCTGAATGAAATCGATGAGTTCGCGAACTTTGTGCCTAATATTAATACCCTGGTCTTTTCCGATATCATCGATAAAAGAATAATTTTCTAACGACCTCAAATCGTATATATGCTCCCTTGATGAAGTAACGACACGTTCCGAGCCATTTCGAATTAAGTAATTTAACAGCAACAGTGACTGCAATGCGTTATTACAACTAGTGACATGAAAAATGATGTTGTACCTTATAGGTGCGTCTCCAATGTTGTTTGTTATCTTGTAACATTCTTTTCCATAGCATCGACATAACTTCGGGAAAATGTTCGTAGGTGAAAGTAGAGTGAGCTAGCTCTTGCATGAGTTGCCCTGTAGGTCCCCACGCTTCGTCATTGGTTGCCTCCCGCACCTTTGCTTCGATTTCGGTATAATTCATGACAACATTCGTACTGAAAAGTAAATATGAGATTAGGGAAAGATTTTTAAAATTCACAACATCTGGGAAAGTTCAGGTTCTTAACTTACACTTTATCGGCGATTTCTCGCACTTTCCACATACTAAATATATTTTCCATTTTAATAATATTGATATTTGACGATATTTTAAATATAATAAGAATTAAATTATTGTTTTACGGCGTTAATGAAACATTTTTATCTGTGCTGATTTGGCTGCAGCCATCTTTGTTGCATCACCAAAAATGAAGGACAAAATAGAAAAGATGAGAAAAACAACTTTGGTTAGATTCTGCTAGGAAAATTTTGCAAACTATGCAATTTTTACACAATTTATGTTATAATTAAAGATTTAAACCTTAAATTTTTGATAAATCTTCGACTGATAAAACATATATAGGGTGTTCGACGAAGCATGCCCTAAATTGCTACATGTCAGTACATGTCACAGCCCACCGGTGTCCCTGCGCGAATGCCATGTCATCTTTATTTATATCACATTTCATACTCTAGGATTTGGTAACACTGCAAATCGAAGTTACGGTACCACTCCCTAATTCGGATATGCTGTAACGTCGAAACGATGTAAAATTCCTCTGTTTCCTTCTAGTTTTTACCTTTCTGAAGTGTGCTGATGTTCTATTTTTGATAGGCATTTAATTGCTTGTAACATTAGAGTTTCCGCCTATACTAAAACATGTGCTCCTTTCCAAATAAACAATAGCTTCCATTCAAATTTTGTTGTAGGTTAGTGGTAGGACTTGTGCTATATTTAATTTTACATGCACACTTGTATATTGTGCTAAAATCCAGGGGCGGCTAGTCCTAAAGGACACAGGGACACGTGCCCACTTAATCGCCAAGATAAATGGCGGAAATAAATTAGCATGTCAGCCAGTGAATATACTTTTTATATGACCACCATGGGCATATGGAAAATATGGAAAAAGATCGCAAAATAATCGTTCTCATTACACATTTACATCGGATGGTATCAAATTTTCTTTCCGTTCTTTGGCAGGCACAGTATTAAAAGAAATTCAATCTGCATTCATGGGTTTGTGAAATAGCATCATACGGCGTGGGTGGATTTTATTGGTGGAAGCGGTTGTAGGTCTTAAAACTTTCTTTGCTTCCCGTTAAATCTGTTGCCAAAAAATTTTTTTGGTTTTGATTATGTAAGCAAATAATCATTAAACATACAAACCAAAATTGACCGAGACAGAAAATATAAAAGACTGCAATGCAAACATAAATTTCGCAAAAAAGTTTAACATATTTCAACGTTTGATGCGAATTCGTTAAAAGTTCGCTATTTCCGGTTCCGGAAAGAAATTGCGAATTTCGGATGCATGAGGATAGCCTAAAGAGGATAGCTGTGAAAAGAAATGAATAATACTTGAAGAAGCGTTTACACCGGTAAAAATAATTTAATTTTTGTTTGAGAAGTCCATTTATCATGCGACTGAACGCAGCTTAAAGCTAACTTCACACAGGTAGTATCTCGAGCTCGATTGACAGAATCACAGAATATTCAGGTTAGATTTTTTAAGTAAATAAACATGAAATTCTTTAATTAGTTATTTTTACATTAGACATGATATTATTACATTTATGACTGGTCCCAATGGAATAACATGGGTACCTACAATGGCAGGCGGCCTAAGTTTCTTTTCACTCATTTTTTAGTACTTCTAATCATCATGATGTTTGTTCTGACTGTGATCTTAACATTCACCCTTTTAACAACTGGTGAGTTACCTAAACCTCAGTACTCTCCTAACATTAATGTATTTAGATCATTGCAAATGCCATTCATCGGAACTACTGGCTGCTAAGCAATTTAATCGCATTCAACCAAGTCGGCATGCAGCTTTATATAAACTTGCAGTACTGGTACCATTTCGAGATCGCTTCGAAGAGTTGCTCATATTTGCGCCATATATTCATAAGTTTTTAAATAATCAAAATGTCGATCACACAATATTTATTCTAAATCAAATTGACGGTTATCGTTTTAATCGAGCATCTTTAATTAATGTAGGCTATCTGCACACGAAAGATAATTATGATTACATTGCGATGCACGATGTAGATTTATTACCTTTAAATACTAACTTAAGTTATGCTTATCCGAAGCAGCAACCGTTCCATATAGCAGCTCCGCATTTACATCCGAGATATCATTATGAAAAGTTTGTTGGCGGTATTTTACTAGTAAATAGGTAAGTGACTTTGCTTTTTAACAGATTAGTTGTTTGTGGTCATCCTACAACTGAGCTGTTCAAAAGCAAAATAATCTTCCGCTGATGATTGTAGTAACAAGTAACCATTTAGAGATCATTTTGGCTTAGTCAATGGAATGTCCAATAAATATTGGGGATGGGGATTAGAAGATGATGAATTCTTCGTGAGATTACGGGACGCAAACCTAAACGTAACAAGACCCGAAAACATAATGACCGGAACACATAATACATTCAAGTAACTTTCCCTGCCTTACTTAGTTTTTTATTCATCAAATGTTGTAGACATATCCACGATAGACATCACAGAAAGAGAGACACTATCAAATGTTACAACCAACGAGAAGTGACCAGAAGGCGCGATCGGCAAACTGGTTTACATAACGTTAATTATACCATACATAGTATTAAAGAAATGACCATAGATTCTGCTCCATTGACAGTTTTAAATATTGAATTGATATGTGATCATAAATTAACACCATGGTGTGATTGCACTGATCCCAAGGCAAACGGGAAACACAAAGATCAATTAAAAAAGAATTCTCTTTAACAGTTTACCTTTGCCTAAAAATTGTAATTTTATAGTACTTTTACCTTTCAAGTAGCTTGTAACCTACAACTGAATTAATTTACCTTATCCACGTTTTTGATTGTGCTGTACACGTTCCATTTGTAGTCCTTGCACATTATGCATGGTCGCTTACATTGAACAAATTTTAGGAAAAGTATTTAAACAGCAAAATCAAATGTTTCATTGAGTGTAAAGCATTTTTAATGAAATACCCTGTCTCAAAAATACATAAACAGAACCGTCCACCTAAACTAGTTGGCTAAACAAATGATGAGTGAAAGCGTAATAATAAGGTACATACAGAGTGTTTCATTAAAAATCTATTTTGGTATTGCACCTATTGACTAAACTAACTTTTTAACTCTGCGGCTCCGCAACCCTGTGATGGTCCCTGTATCAATTAACATAGAGCAAGGAAGCTGTTAAAGATATATAATCGTAAAAATGTCATTACTTTCTATTTGATGATTGTGTGTACACAAGGAACATATTTTTATGGATTTTTTTGCTCTAGTTAAATTGTGAAATATTTTTGTTGTGTATATTGTGTTTTACTAGTCATATGACATAAAATTAGAATTCTTTGATACTGATTCATGTAAAATAAAGTGTTAGTTTTTAGATTGTTTGTAGGTATTTTTATTATTATACTTTATAAATGGTAAAAAATCTCTTGTTCATTTTTGTTACTGGGATACACAAGCATATGGCACCAAAGCGTTGCGCCGTCAAAATATAATGGTTGTTTCCTGGGTTCTTGTATTAAATAGTCCCTCGGCTAGCATGTTTTCTTCTCAAAAAAAGGATACGGGTCAAAATAGAAAAATAAAACGGTAATTTTTAATTAATGATTTTAAAATGTAAATGTATTTATGTCAAATCAAAGAGTATATAAACTTTTGTTTGTGGTATTGTCAAAATTTGAAAAATTACATAAAAATACCTTCAATGAGATCAAAAATGAGTTGTCGAGTCACCTTTGCAATTTTTGTTTACATGGGAGAGTATTTGATCGCCTGTTCCTGTTATATTGGGCTGCTCAACAGACGTTAGATATACGTTTATACGCTACTTTTCACCTGTCGTTATCTCTTTGTTTAATATAATAAAGAACGCTCGCGTGGAAACTGGACACGGGGGAATTCACAAATTAGAATGTAATTTTAAAGCAAATATGTTAACATAACAAGAGAAGTTACTGTAAGATCACCAACAAAGGTAATGAATGAAAATCGGATGCTTCCTGTCACTTAGGCAACCAATCATACACTATCAATGGAAACTGGCAACGTTGAAGTGCAAGTTTCACGGCGGGGATTCGTGTGGGATGGGCCCACAGCTTAGACCATATATAGTACATGGACTGCTAATTGTAACTAAAATGTGGTCAAGGACATCGCCTGGCTATGTGAGTTTCAGGGTAAACGAGTCTGTCCGAAGTTGTCCGATGAGGCACGATTTGAGACTGTCAACCTATAAATTAACAAACGTCAATTAATTAATCGCCTAGATATCCCAAAAAAAGCAAACTTATTCTTATTTGAGGACGTATAGCAAATAATGAAGAGTATTTAAAGCTTCTCCTACTACGCGGTTACTATAAATCTGCTCATTAAACGATCCTAGTGGTGTTTACACGACTTTAGTTTACCCTGAGATTCACATACCCACGACTACAGTGCCCTCTATCCGTGACCATCCATTTTGTATTGAAAGCATAGGGCGAATAGCAGTCCATGTACTATATGGTCTAAGGCCCACAGACATATACACAAACATAGGCTGCGCGACATCGCGAATTGTTGTCGATTCCCGAAGATGTGCTTTGTTCACATCGACTGACCTTGATGTGAACGTGAATGTCACTGCATTCTCGAACCTACCACATCGAGCGAAAAGTTGATCGAACGCAACGACTGGTCTCTAGACCACTCGTTGCGTGAAAGTCATGCGCAGTTCCAGCTACAGGACGGATCTTGCAGCTGTTTTGCTATAGAGGTTATTCAGTGCCCTAACCTATAAATTCACATATTTTCTGTGAAATAAAACATGGAATTGTTCGAGGATTTTCTGGTTATTAATAACAGTATCCTTAATGCAAAAACGAAACAAAATACAAAACTGACAAATGACAGTTCAATTCTTGTCTGTGATTGGTTAGCGCATACAGTTTGTTCGCGATTCGGGAATGCAGCTAAACTTGAACTTATCCCTATCGTATACGATCATGACGTCATGGCAGCCGGTCACATCACATGCACATCACGGAGCATATCGACTAACTTCGGGAATCGATTGTTTTCTTCGGCCGTCGACGTTTCGTCGTCACTGCCTTGACATGAACACTGCAATAGGTATAATTACAAGAATTGGTAAATCTTTTTTTTAATTTTACGTATTGTGGTTTTCCCAATTGTTGCAATATACCTACCTACTACTCCCTTTATATCAAGACAGTGACGAAGAAACTGCTAAGAAGGAACAAACACAACTAAACAAATATAGAAAACGAACTCTTGCTTGCATGTGCAAAACCAAATTTTAAATCTGATGTTAATTTTGCTTTTATTTAAAGTATATGTACGAAATTTCATTTAATTGCTTCCATAAAGAAGAAAGTTGGCACTGCACATCCTACACAAAACCAAATTTGGAAAATGGCGCTACATTTGTTTTTAATCTAAGTGGTTATGTTTCAAATTTCATTTAAATCCCTTCATAAATAAGAAAGTTGGCACTGCGCATGCACAAAACCAAATTTTGAAACTGTCGTTAAATGTGTTTTTATTCCAAGTGGCTATGTATCAAATTTCATTTAAATCCCTCCATAAATAAGAAATTTGGCACTGCGCATGCGCAAAACCAAATTTTGAAAATGGCGTTATATTTGCTTTTATTCCAAGTCGCTATATATCAAATTTCATTTAAATACCTTCATAAATAAAAAGGATGCCAAAAGGGCCTTTCTTATTTTTTGGGCTACATTGCCAATTCACGAACACCGATCTACAAATTTGATAAAGAATCCACCTACAAAATTTTATCGTAATCGGTTCATTCTTTATCGAGATATCGTGCAGCTAACGGACGGACAGACACCGCAAAATTATAAACTCGCTAGGAGCTCGTTAATAACGTGTTAATTAATTATTAGATAAGCAGTGTGTTCATATACTAGTTTTTTCCATTAACAGGAGATGCGATTTTAAATGCCGCGGGGGTATAAATTGCCACTTCATCGGTTACTTGTTATGAATTGTTTGAGTTGTGTTTACCTCTATTTTTTCAATTTAGAGTAAAAAGGAAAGGATTGATTGGCAATAATTACAATTTTTTGACTTTTGGTTTGGCTCTGGAACCTAAACTAATACCTAATACTATTTTTTTATGATTGAATATGCCATAAATAAAAATCCACAAGTTCTATTTAAATCTTTAACTTTTATTTTTTTACTGCGTTTACGTGGGCCTTTTTTGTCAGTGTGTATTAAAACTGCATCACTAAAATAAGAACTTGTCTTGCAAAATTAATCTTAAAAGCCAGTTTTTATTTCAATAGAGCGAACGAGATTAAAGATACCATAATGTGAATTAATGTCTCTTTAGTTTGTCAGAATATAATATATGTAATCCGGTTTTACCAATTTTTGTCAGTGACGAAGAAACGCCGAAGCAAAGACGACAATGCGCGGCGCCGTGCGACTCATCCCAAACGAATTCCCGCCGAAAAAGTTACACTTCAACGTTGCCATTTTAGATAGTGTATGGTTGGTTGCCTAAGCAGCAGTAAGCTTTCGGTTATCATTACTTTAGTCGGTGATCGTACCTACCCAGTCCTTCTTTGGATAGAGGTAAGGTATCCTTTTAAAGTATATGTACGGTTTTGGTCATAAGTAATGTCCCTCCATTATCTCAAGTGTAGCACATAATCAATATATCCGACCTCATGTGAGTTTTGAGCTTCTTTTCAAAATGGGGATCTCTTAAGATTGAAATGAAATTGAATAAAATCGCGAAAGGAGGGACATATTAGTATTTTTTTTATGAGTTCAGATATCTAAGGGAGGACATTACTTCTGACCACGACTGTACCTTAGATAGAGGTAAGGGTGGATTCGTGAAATTTAATTGGGGTAGTTATGGAAGTTACCACGGACAATTGTTACAAAATTGGCATTGGGACAAACGGAGTCCTAATAACTACCCCAATTGTATTCTAGAAGTGAAATTGCGGCATACAAATCAAATCCGGTTCGGTGGCTTCAGTAATTTTCGGTTACGGGCGTTACGGCTCCGGTTTCAGTTTATTTTTTCGGTTTTTAAAGGTTCCAAAATAAATAAATAAAATTATTATTAAAAAATAGAAATTATTATTAATTATACAAAATAAATAATAGATAAAATTAAAGTACAATATTATATTGCATAAACATATTTTTGGCTACACGTTCGTTTCACCTCTGTCCATGATACTAGTATTATGACCTCTGTCAACTGCCTGTCTTTTTCTTCTTTCTTGTTCTTCAGTGGTAGTTCTTCATATAGGTACTCTTCAATGAGCCTGTCAAATGTCAACATTGTACCATTGAATTTATTGTACGATTTCAGACTTTGTTGTCAACCTCAGCGTAGTATAAAATTTCCTACTAGCTTTGTTTATATAGCCGAATTTTTTTTTTGTTATCAAAAGTATAATCGGTGGTTCGTTTAGAAATGAAGGCTTGTATATGTGTTTCGCATTAGTGTAGACCCTGTATATTGCTTTAATTTTTTTGTAAAACAAGAAATGTGGGTTACTATACTATTGAATTAATTTGTAGATAGTTTATAAATTCAATGACTATACTTGTGACTGCAACTTGACACGTTTCACAACCACCATCGATTTTGCCGCCAATTGCACAATCATGAATCATTTGTTTGTTTTTGACACTTTAAATGACAACCACGCTGTGCTATTTGTTTTATCGAATTTCGACGGAACTCGTAATCGGTAATCACTAAAAAACAGTTGCGTTGCGGGTATTTCGGTCTGCGAGCATTTTGATAACGCTTTCAATTTATTAAGTATGTAGATTAAGGTTCCGAAATACAACCTAGAGTGCATCATGTCTCCCACAAAAGTCATTTTGTTAGCTTGTGGTTCATTTAGTCCACCTACCAACATGCATATGAGAATGTTTGGTAATTTGAGTGTATTGTAATTATCTTCCAAACCAATTAACTAAATTGCCGTAGAAATTGCTCGCGATCACTTACATCGACTAGGAAATCATATTGTAATCGGTGGATTGATCTCACCTGTCCACGATGCGTACGGCAAAAAGGATTTGGTGCCCTCCACCCATCGCCTGGCAATGATTAAACTTGCCCTACACAATTCCGACTGGATTAAGGTTTCTGACTGGGAGTGCAATCAGGAAACCTGGACACGGACAAACCAAACGTTACAGTATCATCAGGTAAGTGAGAGGGGGCTGTTTCACAATGTTTAAAACAAATGAATACTTTTGCAGAATAAAATAAACTCTTTGATTAATCATTCTAATAATTACGACTACGACATAAACGAGGAGGATTGTAGATGGATACCGGATAATATGAGGAATAATAATAGTCCAGTTCAAATCAAATTGCTGTGCGGTGCTGACCTTTTAGAATCTTTTGGTACTCCTGGCCTGTGGGCGGATGAAGATGTATGTATCAATATGTAGTTTACTCAGAGTGTATTTTAAGTTCTAAAGTAGGCGGCACCAGTGACTTTTTGTCATGGATACCAGTGGCAAACACTTTTCATCTTTGAAAAGCAATTTATTATTGCCAATTTCAGAGTCATTGGGAGACTCGAAAAGTATACCATAAACAACCACTAAGTTTGGCACAAAAGTATCATATTCTATAAAACTTTTAAAAAATTTCCGGTTGATGGTCACCCCGAGAGGTGTCCTAGTGCGGCGACTGGGGTTTCAAAAATGTTGCACTGGAGTAAGCTTCCAGCATGGCAAACCGATACCGAGTTCAGTGCCGCCTAGTGGAAGTATTTAAAATATGCTCCGAGTTCTTCACTTCTTAATAAAAGTGGTAGTATCGGATCCGTGATATCGTTAAGTACATGCCAAATTAATTTTTCTAAAAGCATTGTTTTTCGTCAGTCCTCCAAAAGTATTGCTTTAAATACAGGGTGTAACAGGTAAGTACGTAAGAAAAAATTGTGTGTTACTGTGGTAAAGAGGAGCAAAAGAAACATTTACGCCATTTTGTTAAGTATCAAAATATCACTATCAGAAGTGGGATTCTGAACTAAACAATACAATTCAAGTGAATATCTCTTACATAACGATAACCCCAAGGAAAAAAATTATGGTAATAGAATTGAAGTGTTCATAATGAAAATGAATGTTCAGTTGCAATCAAAAATTAATCACAGTTAATTAATATAATAGCCTTTGAAAATCAGAAATAATAAAAGTAAATAATTTTCAGATTGAGTCTATAGTCGGACAACATGGCTTAGTAGTAATCACAAGAGAAAACACAGATCCTTTAAAATTCATTTACAATTCGGATATATTAACAAAACTAATGGTAAGAATTTTCGTGTTTGTAGTAAGTGTTGCTATTAATCATTTTGCACACAAGCGGAACATAATAATTGTGACAGAATGGATTCGACAAGACATCAGCTCCACCAAAATAAGGCGGGCGCTACGACGAGCCGAGTCTGTTAAATATCTATTGGCGGATAAAGTTATAGAGTATATTTATGAACAGTCCTTATACGGAACAAGAGAAACGTAAGTACATATTACATTTTTTATTCGTTTTTTTAGTGTCTTATAATATTTTGATATTGCATACTTGGCATTAATGACTCAGGAGCCCATTTGACCTATATCTTCATGTTTTGACTGGTTCGAGACGTTTATTTTCGAAAAACCCATCTTTCGGGATTAACTGGCTATCAGGAATGCAAGGGTCTTCTCACCTGTCGGTTGGCAGTTAGTTTTTGGATACTTGCTTCTTTAGCGTTTTAGTTAGTTTTTGATATCTTCCGTCTAGATGGCACATAATTTCAAAATGCATACTAATTATATTACCTATGCTTCTAATAGGTAAATTTTTGTTGGTCACTGCTTTGGTAACAATCCGGATTAAACAAATGCCAGGTTGTCAACACAGCTAACTAATTTTAATTTTTAATGTTTATAAAAAAACATCCGGAAAAAGAATGCAAAAAAATTAATGTTAAGATATACAGGGTGTAAAATGCCAACTTTGAGTCAAATCTCAAAAATGGTGGTCCAAAAATTATTTTTACACACCACTGAATTCTACGTAAAAATGTCTGGAATGGGCAGTTTTTACCTTTTTTCTCTTTTAAATGGGTAGTAACTCGGGTAGTAAGATACAATAATATCCCAAAAAGTCAAACTTTACGTTTTCACCTTGTATCTCAGAAACAAACGTAGTTACATTGATTCTGTTGTGGTTTCACAAAAAAGTGAGTCGCGAAAATGGCAAGCCTCTATCTTTAAAAACAGGTGAAACACACTGCAGTCTTGACCAAAATAGGACACACGATACCTGGTTTGTGAGTAGGGAAAGAATGGGGGTGCGCAGAATCCTCTTTGACCTAGAGAGTTCCGCGCATATGGCCTCTATATGGATGGGGATGCGCAGATCCTCTATGATCTTGATCAGAATCCTATGGGGACTCAACGAATCCTCTGACCTACTTTTAAAATGCGAGTGGGGTCTCAGAGAATCCTCGATGGCCTAGTTACAACCCATTGGGGTCTCAAATGATCCTTCCTTAAAGTGTGGGGGGGTCAAGGGTCGTTCGGTTGCAGGACACTTGATCACGAAAACAATAAACCCCACAATTTACAATTTAATTAAAGTCTTTTTATTGTTTAGTTAAATAACAACTAATTACACAATACACACAGGATCAGTCGTTTTATTTTTCACTTTCGTCAGGCCAACTAGCACATGCGATGCGATTGACAACCAAAAATGCCAGACGCCATTCCCCCAGTCACCGCACGCAGCCAGGATCGTAGATCTTTTTGTCGTTAGATGTCACTACAAACGTATGGGGTCTCAAATGAGCCGTTTAGTTCAGTTTAAATGGGTGGGATTTCAAGCGCTCCTAAAGTATATATGTATTTGTTTGAAAATACGTGTAATAGTAGTACAAGCCCTAACACATTTTGCAACAAAATATAAAATTACAGTTACTAAATATGTTTAATTTATAACTATAGTAAGAAAAAAAAAATAAACATACAATGATTTCTAAGTTACAACATTTTTAAAGTGTTGAGTGTCCGAACATTTATTTTTTTTTTCTTACTATAGTTATAAATTAAACATATTTAGTAACTGTAATTTTATATTTTGTTGCAAAATTAATTAATCTAAACTGTCAAATAACACAAAACACCATAAAATTAGAATTTAAAGTGACACAAAAATGTTCGGACACCACCCCTTAACAATGAGTTACATCCCTTTTGGCTTTAATAACAGCTTGGATTCGTGTAGGCATGGTCGTCACAAGAGCTTTACATTGATTGATGCCAAAGGTATCCCAAATCTCTTGTAACTTTTCACTCAAACGTTGCGGATGAATACGCAAATGTTGCTTCATTTTGTCACACTGTCGCAATGACATTGAGATCTGGACTGCTTGAGAGCACCTCTAAAACACTATTATTGTGGTCTTTTAACCATTTCTTAGTCGTTTTTTCCTGTGACATGATGCTCCGTCTTGTTGAAAAACAAAGTCTGCATCAGGTGATAATGTCGCAAGTGAAGGCAATCAACTTTGTTCTAAAATTGCTTGATATTTCTGAGCATAAACATTACCATTTGTAAGTGCAATTGTCCCAGCCCATTTGCAGACATACTGTCCCACACCGTTATACCACTGGAGAATTTTACAGAACGCTTTAAGCAATCTTTGTGACATGCTTTGTTTTCCGTTCTGATAACTCTTTCTCGATTATCGCCTACATTGATATCAAATCGAGATTCAATAATTTTTTTCCAGTCTTGGTAAGACCACGCCTGCCGTTCCCGAACCCAGGCCAACCTCTTCTTTATTATTTTTGTGTTTTAAAGATGTTTTTCTTTCGCCTATTTAAAAAAGTATTTTCTAATGCTCAATAATTTTAACCTAAAGATCCACTTACTTTATAAAAATGTAAACCTGATTGATTGATTGATTGATTAGATGCATTACATTGGTAATAAAAATACTAACTAACCTTAATGTTTTCTTTTAAGAATACCCGATAGATGATCAATTCCCATTCAAATTGACTGTGGATCGGCCTACGTCGCATATAGCAACAACTATTCTATTAACAAATTGGGGTTTACCATTGTTCAGTTTAGTAATACGACCGGGCGTGCCGCCAATCCTGAGTTCATTTAGCGCGACGCGCTTTTCGTTTGTAGATACTAGAAGACAATTAAAATTATATTTGTATTAATACTTTACAAGAATTTTATTACCTACTCTTGAAATACCCCGCATCCTCATTCTAAATATACAGCAAGTACGAATCTAAAACTAGTACGTAAAATATACTTCATTGATCGTTTTTTTTCTATCTTAGGTACCTTGTAAAATACAAAATGTAGTAGTAAAGAATTCCTTACGCCCAAACAAGAACGCATCTAAGCATTAACTAAAGCAAAATGCGCGCCTCTTACGAAGAGTTTACTACCTGCTCATCCCCTTTATACGTCGACGCTAATATAACACGTAAAACTTCAAACTTTGTAAGCTTAATAAATCTGTGTTCACGAGTGCGACACGAAAAACATTCCCATACCGGGAAGCGCAGTACATGCGATCTTTTTCTTCTGTAGTATTTCAACATAGGGAAATTTCATTATTATTATTAAGCAAAAAACTTCGTAAAAGCCATAGTACAATAAGACAGTAAAAGCTTTTCGTTATAACATAGCGAGTTCCAATACGCTAAACGACATGACCGATATCAATGACATTTACCTAACATCTATATCCCGTTCAAAAATACCTGCGGTTTTGCCAGTAATTTAAGCAGATTACATTATAAGAAACGCGTGCTAGATAGGTAATTACTTTTTATGTTCCTTAACGCATTAAAATTGTGTATTTTACAAATGGAATTTATAAACTCCACTAGAGGGCAGGCGCGTATGTTTTACATTTAAAAGTCACTAGATATACAGGGTCATTGACGAGCGTCAGTTAGAAAGATATGGAAAACCTTTGAAAATGAAAATAAACTGATAAGTTCTTTAAGGGTTTTGGCACATGATGAATTGAACTAAAATATTTTCAAGATGGCCCCACTTCCGGAAAGACCGGAGGTAGCCATCAACTTTGCTATTTTAAATAGGGACCTCCTATTTTTTCTACATTTTCGGATTCTACGCCGAATTTGGAGTACAACGATACCCCTATAGTTGACCCTTTGCTCCAAGGACATCGTCGATATTCAAGTTTTTATGTCAAAAATTGAATATGCAGGGGTCATTTTAAAAATTCATTATTCGAAAACGGTGAGAGATATTGCAAAACAGTTTTCAATGCTTTATTAAAGAAAGATCGAATTTTCTTATGGTATACGAAACCGTCTAAAAAAGTGAGACTACGTCACTTTTTCAAAGCTCTCAACTTTTAAATTTTTAAATATCCGTAACCCCAATTTTTTAAATGGCACCCCCCATTTTGTTCATCAACATTGTTTTCCATTTTCCCAGACATTTAATTTGATGCAAAATGTCAAAAGCTGCTTCAAACGGTTTCCGAGATATTCCATGTTTTAGTTATTTCTTGTGGCAAATTGATAAAAAAATTAAATCGCTTGATGTTATTCTTTTGTTTTTATTATGATAATGTTGAACGTTAAATTTTCGCTGCTTGAACATATACTTCTCGTCAATAATGGCTCGTTTGGGTTACACTAATGAAGATTTTTTGAATTTAAAATTAATACACGGTGAATGTAATCGAATAGCGGCCGTCTTTTTTCCGAAAGATACCCTGACAAGGCACGACCCACAGAGGCTACAATTCGCAAATTACTACAACATTGCAGGAATAACGGCACGTTTCAAGCAAAAATACAAAAAAGGTAGCCTTTGGTAGACCACCGTAAAGGCAATGCAGTTTTTTAAACAAATATGGGTGCCATTTATGCTTTTTGAGAATTCTTTGTGCACTCGTGTTTGATATGTCAATTTCTCTTTGGATATCATTAAGCGATGCAGGTGGATTTGCAGCAAAATACGCCAGTACAGCTGTTATTTCTTATTCTTCAGATTCTACCACAGGCTTCCTTTTTTGTATTTTTGTTTAAAACATACCGTTATTCCTGCAAATTTAACGTTTAAACATTATCATAACAAAAACAAAAGAATAACATCAAGCGGATTAATTTTTTTATCAATTTGTTACAAGAAGTAACTAAAACATGGAATATCTCGGAAACCGTTTGGAGCAGCTTTTCACATTTTGTATCAAATTAAAGATCTGGGAAAAAGGAAAACAACGGCGAAGAACAAAATAGGGGGTGCCATTTAAAAAAATGGGGTTACGGATATTTTAAAATTTAAAAGTTGAGAGCTTTGAAAAAGTGACGTCTCACTTTTTTACACGGTTTCGTATACCATAAGAATATTCGATCTTTCCTTAATAAAGCATATAAAACTGTTTCGCAATATCTCTCACCGTTTTCGAATAATAAATTTTTAAAATGACCCCTGCAAATTCAATTATTGACATAAAAACTTGAATATCGACGAAGCCCTTGGAGCAAAGGGTCAACTATGGGGTATCGTTGTACTCCAAATTCGACGTAGAATCCGAAAATGTAGAAAAAATAGGGGGTCCCTATTTAAAATAACAAAGTTGATGGCTACTTCCGGTATTTCAGGAAGTGGCGCCATCTTGAAAATATTTTAGTTCAATTCATCATGTGCCAAAACCCTTAAAGAACTTATCAGTTTATTTTCATTTTCAAAGGTTTTCCATATCTTTCTAACTGACGCTCGTCAAGAATGACCCTGTAGATATATTTAGTGACTTTATTTTACATTTTTAAAAACTTGACAACGCTGTGCGAGATGGTTGATGCGGTTGCGGTAATGGGCTTCTAACCTTTTCCATACAGGGTGGCCATTTGAAAACGAAACGGAGCCTATTTTGGGAACCTCAAAACATTTACGAAAAAATCCTCGGACCCGTCAATTTTTGATTCAAGGGGGAACCATTTTTTTGCTAGTTTCGCCCCCCTAAGGGCAAATCCCTAGCGGGGGTGACGACCGCCCCCAAAATGTTAAATCGAATGAGGGGGTCGAGTGATACCTTATTTTGAAAGTATTTTATGTGGATTATAACCCTTAAGTTTTAAATCGCTACTAATTTGCCTAGCCGATACAGGGGCTAATAAAAGTTATAAAAACGTGTCACCATTTTCTTATGAAAAAAAAATGTTTGTAAATGAATTAGTTAAATAACAAAAATTAATACAACAATAAATACAGAAAATGTTGTTCTCCTACATTCTGAACCGTACTTTTTGTTGTTTTTTTTTCTTTTTAATACCTGTAGGTGGCTATGCCAATTCTGCAACGGAAATCTTGGTTATTGTTGAGAGCGTTATTATAGCAACATTTTGAAGTTTAATAGTGATTGTCAATTGTTGTTGTCAAATCATAGTAGTGACAAATAGCACTTTAAAGTTATTTAGTTGCAAAATCGGTACATTGAACAGTGATTAATGGTTTATTCACTTGCTGAAACAGTTGAAATAAATGCTCCTTTTTCCTAAACGATACTGGGAATCGTCACAACTGTCGCTATTGGGCTGATTCAAATCCCAAAATATTTCGTGAGGTGCATACACAACATCCCGAAAAATTCAATGTTTGGGCTGGCATTTTTGGTAACCATATCCTAGGCCCCTTCTTTTTGCCTGGCAATCTAACAGGAGAGATGTACCTGGAGTTATTGGAAAATACGATTCATCCAGCATTAGTGGAGATACTAGAAAATAACGAGTACTTGGAAAATCGTCTAGTATTCCAGCAAGATGAGGCGCCACCCCACTATACTGCAAGGGTTCGTCAATATTTGGACCAAACGTTTCCAGGACAATGGATTGGAAGAAGAGGAGCTATTAAATGGCCTCTTCATTCCCCAGACTTAAGTCCCTTAGATTTTTTTATATGGGGGCATTTAAAAACTAAAATGTATGCTAGTCAGCCAACATCGTTAGACAACTTGCGATAAAGAATAATTGATGAATGTCGTCAAATCACCCCAGGAGTTTTGCAAAAAATACGGGAAAGGTTTGAACAAAACCTGTATTATTGCATGGAAGTCGAAGGTCAACATTTTCAACATTTACTTGATGGATTTTAGCTTTAAGCACTTAAAATAAAATTGATTTAAATCTTAAGAATTATAATCTACATAAAATACCTTTAAAATAAGGTATCACTCGACCCCCCATTTGATTTAAAAATTTGGTGGAACTTGTCACCCCCGCTATGATTTTGCCTCCAGGGGGGCGAAACTAGCAAAAAAATGGTTCCTCGTTGGATCAAAAATTGACGGGTCCGAGGATTTTTTCGTAAATGTTTTGAGGTCCCCAAAATAAGCTCTGTTTCGTTTTCAAATGGTCACCCTGTATACGACACGGGACGAACTGTAAAATTTTTTTTCAGTGAATAAATTTATTTAAACGATTGTTGTTGTAAGGTCAAGGACGGTGGCGTGCCGCCCCATTCTTTCTCTACTCTAGATATCTTCTTGAAATTCTCTTTAATTTAGAACCATTCTTAAGAATTTTGTTAAAAACCCCTCGGGACACCTAGGTGTTTTCTTCTTTGAAACAACCTTTTTGGAAAATTATGTTTTAATCTTCTTATAAATCTTAAGTGACTTCCTATAAACAGTCAAATTTTCTTATAAATCCCTGGTTGTTAGTTTGAAATTATTGGGTATAAAAATGAGTTCAAAAACTCTCAATCTTTTTTCAAGTTGGTATGTTTCAACGGCTCCACCACAAATATGGTATAATAGTATAATTGGTTGTGGATACTCGGTCTCGGTGTTAGCATTTATTTATCATAATGTTGGATTCTACTTATTAATCATAACGTGCTATATCGGGACAGAGTAATAATGCTATTCCATTCCAAACAAAAGTTGGTCTAACGTTGTGTTTATGCAATATTAAAATATTGTATGAAACGCTACCTTAGAGCACTTTATTTTCTTGCTCTGAGAAAGCTACCATTATATGTGTTTTTATGTTACCCTAAAAAAATGTATATTAGATTATGTTTACTATTGACTTGTTTCCTATGTGCAACTTTAACAAGCTAGAAAGAAACCCAATAAGCATTATATGAGTGTGAGAGAGACACAAAATTAGTTGATTAACTCTTTAATCAGTTGCACATAGGAAACCATAATTTCTGTACTGAACTACCCGATTATTAATTCAATTGTTGTTTTGTGCCGACTTTCGGATCACAGTAAGTATTTATTAGCACCTACACCATTTTTGACACCTTCTCCTTCCGACATTACCATGGAGTCTCCAAGTCCAACTCGCAATCCCTGTTTCAATGTGTGTAATAATACCATCATACCAATATCGTCGTACAACAATAACTCAATGTTAAACAATCGTACGGCTAAGATGAATCACGCTAACGTAATCAAACATCCCGGTCAGGCTATAAAAATTATTACAGAAAGTACTGGTGAGCACAAACTTGTCAAGGACGAAAACGGCGACACGAAGCAGGTATGTAAGAAAGATGGTCATAGCAATACGATCGAAAAGCAACCGATAAGAAATGCCGTTGATAATCCCTCGAAAGTTATTTTTACTAAGTTCGGAATACATATTATAAGTGACGTTGAAACAATGGTGTAGTAAGTAGCAGTAGCCTAAAATATATATGTAACAAATACCTTGTAATGGTCTTCCATATATCATTGCCACATTTTATAGGCTCAATAAAAATCCAGAACTGTAAATTTCTTGCTTATTAGACATTTTACAGGGCAGAACATGGGAAGATCTACAAATAAGTGAGAGACGTCCATAATTACTGAATACTATTCACTCCATTGGGTTCAGTCTTGTAATTTTGTCTATTGATATTCTCATTCTAAAGTCATTGTGAAAAATTATAGATACATATTATTGTCGTTACAGCTCATCTAATCCGGTGCATGTTAGTTGAGTACCCTAGTCAGTTTCATAATTAATGATTTAGAGTAGCTTTTCTTTGTAGGATATCTATATCTAATTGAGCCTGCATGCATCTAATATTTCTGTGACTCTCCAATTTTGAGCCATGTTATTTTTGCTCCGGTCAGTGAATGCTGTGAAAATAACATATCGCATTTTGGACACCTCAAAGTTGCAAGTAAAAATAGAACTGCTCGAGGTGTGTCCGAAAGATCATAGTAGATTCAAGCATAAGAGAAAGTCTGTCACTTCCCGTTTTTTCCAATTTCATTAATATCTGTTGTGAGCAGTAAAATGTCGACAACGAACCAAAAGCTGCATGTATTTGAATGCTGCATGATGTTTTTTGTTTCAGGCATCCCTAAAACGTCCTGCATGCCTACTGTAACCGAATTCTTTCTTTTTCTGCAATCTTGCTCCAATGGGAGGGACAAAGTGGAAGTAAATGTTAATAGGAATATGAATATCTCGTAGTTTTAAGGTAAACAAAAATGTTTTTGTTTATAATTCAATTTAGGCTTCACGAAGGCTGTGCGTTTGTTTTGTTTTATGTACTTTTTCTGTACTTAAATATTTTTTATTTATATGTTCAGCGCAATAAAATGTTTTAGTTGGTAATATTTGAGCTGAATTTCCACATGTACCGCTTCATAGCAAACTTGAACTAAAGTAGGTAAGTCTGGCGATAACAGGAAACCTATTACGAAAAGCGAGCGGGATCTCTACTGACCTAAAAGATGCGTTTATTCCATTTGGGGCGGCTGAAATAGACGCCCAAATGCAGGTTTTCTATTGGTTGTTAGAGCACGCCAGCGGAGGTCATTGCGTTAAGCGAAAAAGGCCCGTTTCGGTTTTTTTGACGGGCAATCAGGTACACTGCTTGTACGTCGATTGTTTCATCGTTGAAAATTCATTCTAAGCTGATTTTCGAAAACGAGCACGTACCAATTCAAGTAGGTACGTTAAGTATTATTATTATTCTTGAGCTATTTCAAGTAAAAAGTTTGCGTTTAACTTCAAGAGCGACCACGTACAAATACCAGTGTGACACAAAAAGTTAATTCGCATTCCACATTTTTAGGGGCGTTGGAAGAAATCCTCACGTAGTATATGTTTGTATGAAGATTTGCGATTGTAATTCGAGAGCGGAAACGTGCATTTAGTGAGTGTAATCAATTCGAATAGTAATAAAGAATTAGCAGATTTTCGTGCACGAAAACCACTTTTCAAATAAAAAATAATGGAAGTCAAGTAAACTGGCATTAAACTAATGATAAACAAAGACTTTTTTGTTCGGATCGCTAACAATAACGACTGGTTAAAATCAAGTTCCTCAAAGTTAAGTGACGTCATTGGATAGTGCCTTGTGCGATAAATTAAAATTTTGTATACAGCGGCATATTGCAGAGAATTTAATAATAATAAAGGATTTTATTTACATTAATTTCTTGGTTTCGCAAAATTGAAGCCAGTTTGCTTGGATTCGTAATTCGTACGAACTTTACGCCCAATTCGACTTCATCACGAAGATAACGTTACCAGGGTGGTGTAGAAAGTCCAACTACCATCGAAGCGTTCCGTTTCCATACTTTTAGGGATAAGATTAATTTGTTACCAGACGGGAGTATTACCCACGTTAATAACTTATTTTATTTTTTGGGTTTGCATAAAGTAGTGGTCGATTAATAGGAACATTTGCTTGAAGTAATTTTGATATTCCTAAAGGAATCGATCCCTGAAAATAATAATTATTATTATAAAAATTGAATCCAAATAAAACATTGGGGTTATTTTGCATCATTGATTGATAATTTTGCAGTTAATTTCACTGATACGATTCTTTTCATTGGATTAAAATGTTTAGGATTCAGAGAATGTATCAGTATTATGTGGTAAAGATGAATTTTGGATAAGGATTATCTCTAGGATTGACACGTGATCACGAGACAGGTAGGTATTGCATTTTTTATTTCTTTTTATGAATCAAACCAATATTTTGTATACAGGAATGTATATAAATAAAAATGGAAATTGATCGCCTTAGTTTACTCAATATTCAATCAACCATTGATTATACAGTGTGTATAATCAAACTTAGTTGATTCATTGATTATACAGTGTGTATAATCAATGAATCAACGAAGTTCACGTGCGCATTTATTTGTTCAATCAAACCAGAGTATTAGTAAACATTATTTGTTATTTTACTGAGCTAGCGGTAAAATAAAAATTAATTGTCATTCGAGCTGTTGCCAGTGCGGTGAGGTTCAATTTTGTCTTGGACATAGACCTAATAGAGTAGATTGGGTGAGAGAGGCGTTGCTTTCCTACAGAGGAATCTAAATGGCGTGAACTGACTGACAAATTGGGTTGTATAGGGTCGAAGTGAAACCACAGATACTTGGTATGCAATGAAAAAAAGATGTACAAACATTTAAACTAATTACAAAATAATAAACCTTTACGGTAGATCTATACAATTTTTGCTATCTATATTTGCGAGTATGACATTTCGAAATAAATGCGCGTGATTGTGACTTCGGTAAGAAAACACTATAAGCCTCCATTAGCGGAAGTGACTGAAACAGGTGACCATTGATAAAGATTACTAAGATAGGGTGCCAAAATCTACAGACGGGAAGATTCTTTATTTCCTCACTTGACAAATTAAAAAGGTTGATTTGTGTGTCTGTGCGGATTTGACATTTGTCACTATTTGCGTTTCTCGTATCTGGTACCTGGGTTACAGGAATAAGTAAAATTATTTAATTATGGATTATAGCCTATATTACCTATTATAGTATGAGTTAAAGGCATCTCCAACCTTTCCAGGATATTGTACAAAACTTAGCATTGCTTTGCTAATAGATTCATTATGATTTGAAGTATTTTGGTACCGATCTTCATACGTTACGGTTAGGTTACACATTTGTAAAACTTCTTGGCATGTGACCGACCGTACATCATACATATACAGTGTTATTCATTTAGAAGTAGACATAGGGATTTCCTATGTCTAGTTTTAAATGACAAAAATCCTTCTGAAGACGCCTAATTTTATGCAAACGAAATAATATGCACACGCATTTTGCATTGTCATTCTAGATTTTTAATAAAATCGATAATAAATAGTATGCTTTTAGGTTATCACGAAGTGATATTATTTGGCCGCTATTTCCCTCAAGTACCGTGTGGGATTCTTTTCTACCAAAATTAAAACATTCGGTTTCATATCTCCATAGATTACATGGATCGCGTTTCAATAGCCACTAATTTTAAAGTGATCAACACAGAAAAGTCTCTTGTCTTACGCTCCTTAAACTATAACCGGCGCTATACTAATTGATAATATCAAGTTTTTCTTCAGCTGAATGCAAAGCACACGAACGAAAATAAAAATACGAAAGTCAAAGCAATAAATAGTCCAATTAATTAATATCAAAATCTTTATTTGTTTTAAAAAGTTATTTTAGTTGCATGAAATTAGACGTCCTTCAGCAAGTTTTTGTCATTTAAAACTAGACATAGAAAATCCCTGTTTACTTATAAATGAATAGCACTGTATAATGATCTTAAGCATGTGACAAGTAAATTGAGGGCCTATTTCATTTTAAACATCCTGTAGAACGCCCGTTCTCTGTAAGTGGCGCTCTCTGGTGCAATGTTACAAGAGCGAAAATTTGAAAGGAAAGTGACATTTGACAAACTCAACAAAATAAAATTTTAGGCTTATATTTGAGTTGATTATACAAAGTTTTTACATAGTGTTGTTGCTTTATTAAATAATATACATGTGATTAGTTCTTTTGATATTCCTTTTCATCGTTATAACCATGCCTAAAGGCATTTCCAAACCCAAAGAGAAGCCACCAAAAAGCAGGAAAAAGGTCCCTTCATCACCCTGTAGTACACTGGATTCATGGATTTTGAGAGACAAAAACAGGGTTTTTAAAACGGAAACAAAGCCTCCAGAAAATGAAGGCAAAAGGACAAAATCTGACAATCCTGAAAGAATCGCCAAAAAAGAAGCAAAACCTTTGGAAAAAAATGGCCAAACAACGAAACCGAATAATCACAGAAACGTAAAAGGGCAAACCACTAAAAAGAAAACAAAAACGTCGGAGAAAGAAGACGAAAGGAAGCAGAATTCCAGAAGCTTACAGCGACATCCCAGCGGGTCTTTTCAGAAGTACGGTGTCATATTGCCGACGTACGAGGAAGCCCTACTTCATAAACAAAAACTGGAAGAAATGAAACAGGCAATTGCCGATTTTGATGTATCCAACGATTCCATTTCAGATTTTGAACTAGACTTTGAGGAGCCTAAACCTATTGAAATATTGGACTGCAAGCATTTGAATGACGAACAGTTGGAAGAAGAGCTTAAACTAAATCACCAGTATTTGTACGACATCGTCCATGGTATTAGGAAGTCGGAAAGGCACGATAAATTTATGAACGCCATGTATAAGACTGGTACCAAAACAGACGATCTAACTCACAATACAAGTATGATAACATTTACTTTTGAACAAAAACGATTGTTATTAAAATATTTGTCGAAGAAGTTCGGTGACAATACTCAGTACTTCTTTAAAGTCCTTTTACCTGAATTGTGTACAAAAATATTTATGGACACCCATAATATGACATATAGTGAAGCTGTGAGCTATTTAAATTCCAGACCTGCTAAACCAATCGATTCTACTTAAAATTCTGTGTCTTACTTTTTTTTACATGTTAGCCGTGAGCTTATTTGCATTTTGTGACATCAAAAGTTAACCATTTTACCTCGATGTAACATTTCTTGTTAGTAATTTTTCGTAATTTGTATATTGTGAAGTATTTAACTTATTATGTTATAAATGCAGGTGCATTGTGTTAAATATGAAATAAACGAATTAAAATATAGTGTTTTATTATTTTATTCAGATATCATCATTTATCAAATGTATTTCTTCACTTTAAAGGTCAGTACGATTTATCAAAGTGGGGGCTAGCTTATGGGGAATTATTTGGAAAAAAATTAAAAATTTGGTGAGTTGACAAAAACCAAAAAGTGAAAAGGGTTCCATGCAGAGGTGAAAAAATGAGATCGAAACAACTGAAAATATATAGGGTCTTACAGTAAAAAAATCAGTTGTCTATTCACACCGTAAAAATGGAACACCCATACATTTAAAAACAATTTCTGTAGATGCGCGACCATGTATAGTTGACATTTGCACAAAAGGTTTTTTTATATTTTTTACCAGCTATAGGCTAGGAAAGACCGACGCACTATTGCACGACCCTGTATATGCTGTTCTATCAAAAGTC